AGGAAAATCAGTGGTCCACTGCAAAATATGTCAGCCATACAGGGGTGGTCTAAAAACCTCAAAGCATTCCTGAAACCTTCAGTTTGTACTAGAATATGTATAGGCCTGAGAAAAAAAACAGGAAAAATCAGGGAAAAGGGTTCCCCCCTTTCTCAAAGTCTTAATTTTTTTTTTTTAAAAAATGGACTTTGGAATAATTCCTTTCAGAATGAAGAATAAAATGTTTAACACAAACTATTCACATACTTACTCATTCACAATTATTTCTAAACAACAGGAAAATAAGATAAGACATAATGTAAGACAATGTCCAGAATCTAATCATTATAATTCCTGGTCTTGGTATCTTTTTCTCTGTTCTTTTTGAGGAAAGGAATGCTTTCTTGACTTTTGCCTGCTTCTGATTAACTGGTAAAACCAAAGATGTTCCTTATGGTTCAGGACTTTGTAGGTCCATTTGTTAGCAGACAGAACTGTACTTTATCTGACAGAACTGTACTTTTAATACAGCAAACACAATAATTTTGTGCCAAACAAATTATACAATTAGTAATTTTTAATTGTGGTAATGTTACATTTTTCCCATTTTTCTAAAAAAAAGACTCATTTTTTTCCTGAAAAAAATCCTGGAAAACAAGAGTTTCTCCCATGGTTTCACAATTTCTAAACCATTAGAACAGAAACAAAAAAGAAACTAAGGAAAATGAGCAGGAATGCCAGGGGTATCTATATGGTGGGCAGACCTATTGCCAAAAAGTCCTCCCTGGCAATTCTAGAAGGTTCCAAATATCTGTTCAGGCTTAGGAAAACCTATTGTGTGAATTCACAGATGACCACTCATGCCTTGTTGTTAACTGCCCTCGAGTCAGCCCCGGACACATGGCAGAACTGCGGATTAGACATCCACTGTATCTCGTCCTTCACCACCCTCCCAATTCCAGCAATGTTAAAAAAATGAAACACCTCCAGTTAGAAGACAAGAAGGAAAAGAGAATGGGCTAGGTGGACAGGAAAATACTTCATTAAAAGGAGCTTCTTTATTGGAGACATTGTTAACTGAGGTATGGCTGTACACATCTGGACATACCAGAAGTGACAGCGTGTCACTTCTGTTCATGATTCCAGGCAAATATACAGCCCAAAAACAGGTCGGGGAGGAGGGTTATAGGGGGTGTGAGAAGCCACACTTTCCCCACACTGCTGTATATAGATCACCTAAATTAATTTTCTGATAAGTATCCCAAATAAGGCAATAATGTGTTTCTAAAGGGCTCTTTCCCAAAGTCAAGCCAATGAAAGGAATAATTTCAATTTATCTTCCAGTCTACAAGATCCCGGTGGAGAAGTTAGAGCCAACTAAGAGGTAAAGAAGGTTTCACAATATAAAATGTGAGATCACAGTAAGAGGTTTGCACCTCAGACCTGCATATGTAATTCACAACTAACAGTTACTGACTTCTCCAAAAGCAACTAGAAAGTTCTATAGGCATTAACTCACCTGGTTATTGGCAACTGCTGGCCTGAGAAGAGGTTTCAGAACAGCATCTTCCTCTGTTCCTGGTGCTGGTGGCTCCTCGTCTCCCTCATCCTCCATCTCTACTTCCTGTATTTCCCCATCTTCCCCTGGTGGGGGAGGGGGCGGTGGGGGAGGAGGGGGAGGAGGTGACTCTGGGGGTGGTGGGGGTGGAGGTGGCATTTCCAGGGGCAAAGGGGGCTGAAGTACAGGGACAGAGGGCTGAAGTACAGTCCAAAACGGACTGAGAGACACAAGAGATGTAGCTGCAGCTTGATTAGAAAGAGATTCTTTGCCAAGAGAACCTAAAGAAGACACATATAAAGTTCTGGTTACCCCACTTTTGTGCTAATTACCCACACAATGTTAACATCCGTCTCTAAACTTTTATGGCACTTCTCATTCCAAAGAGACACACATTTCTACAGAAAAACTACCTTCTTATAGCAATAACCAGCTCCCTAAACATTAAAAATTAAACTGGAAAAAAAGAATACAAACAGAGGAAATTACACTTCCCATCTCCATGTGATGCAGTAAATATGTGTGAAACATACAGAAAGATGAACAGAGATCCCAAACAGGATAGAGGAATGTTTTGCAGACAATGCTCTCATTCCAATCTAACTTTCTCTGACCAGGTGAATCCTTAAACAGAGGAGCATTTCTAAGCAACCATCCTCCCATATTAGAACAAAATTGTTCACCTTGCATTCACTTCTTTCTTACTGAAATCGACCTTCTTAAGATGTTCTTTCAAATGAAATTATCTTTCTTTCATCAAATTCAGTACCTGTAGTGTTATCAGAAGATTCTCCAGATTCTGGTTTCTCCTTCATTGCTTGTTTAGGAACAGCTTCTGCTTTATTTTCTAGGATTTGTCCCTCCTCTTCCTCCTCCCCATCTGGGAATTCCCACTGGGACTCGCCTGATTGTTCGTTAACATAGAAATAGCGCCTATGGTCCCTAAATCACAAGAAAGAAAACAAGGCTTTACACTCTCACCCCATTACTGACACAGTTATGTGGTCCTCTCCCGCGACAGCGGAGTGCTCTCACAGGAAGAACCTCTTACAATAGGACTGCTGTTCACAAAGGCAACAAACAGCTTTGAGGAAGGATTGGCAAGATGGGCTTACTCCAAACTGTTTGTGATGCTGGCTCTGTGATCACAGCCCTCACCTCCACTGCAAGTGCAGAGGGTTAGCGAAAACAGCTCGCTTATGGCTGGTGTGCAAATAATGGTTCAAGGATGCATTAGGCAATAGATTTTTAAAAAAGTATCCTCAGGTTTATTTCCTTCCAGAATAGCAAAGGAAAAACAGCCCAATTTATGAAAGATGGCTGCTCCCCCATGGACTGCTGCAGTCACATTTATGATAATCTTGGTTTCAGACATAGTGAATTGCTACTGAGAGGGAGAGGATCTGGGAGCTGAAAAACAAAAGAGCAAAGATTTCAAATAAACAAAAATAATCAAGAAAACCAAATATAAGAAGAAATAGTTTTGTCTGACCTGCTGGCAGGAGATAGTTATCTTGTTCTTCGTTGAGATCCTCGGTCAGTGAGCTTTCCATAAGGGCACAGACGTTACTTGGGAGCGGAGTTCCTGAGATCCTGCAATGTGCACAGAGCTCTCGCATGCGCGACCCCCCAAGCCCGCCCTCCTTAGCGCATTTACACTCAAGAGTAAACACCAGCTCTGTCCAATCGCGGAATCAAATCCATTTCAACACACTTAAAAAAGACTTTATATTTCTCCAATTTTTGTGGCTGGCTCAAACTCTGTATGTGCCAGAGGCTCTCTGCCCGCTCAGCACCGCTAAGTGCAGCTGCTCTCAGTCTCCAGATAGATGACGACACGTCGGCAGGTGGTGATGGTCACAAATCATGTCTGAGATGTCAAAGGTGAAAGGTGAAAAGGGGAGAAGAGTGCGTACCTGTCCCAGTGGCAGGACCAGCCTTTAGGGGCGGCGTTTATTTCATACTGTTTTAGCTGTTCAGCTGCATCTTGCAATTTGCGTTTGAGGTAGTTTCCTTGGAGAGCTCCTTCCCGCCAGTCTGCAATACGGGTCTATGACAGGAAGGCAAAGAAAAAGAAACAATTAGAAGCCTGTAGACAATGAACTTTATGCATGCCATTTATCACAGACCTCTGCAGTTCTACACATTGCAAGCCTCTCTGAAATGCAGCCAAGACTATTGGGGAAAAAAACATGATCAGAAAAATCACAGAGAGGATGAAAAGATTGGAAAATTAGATACAATGCTGGACTAATACAATCAGTTTTGGGGACAAGGAGAGATGAAAGAATATTAATGCTATAACACTTAAACTTCCTAGATTCTTATTCCACTACACTGCTGTCAGCTGTTTAACTTTCTATATTCCATAATTTGTTTTCAAGAAAAGGTAAACTTAAGTTACCTCAGTCTGCAACAGCAGCACGTGGAAGTTAGAGATGGACTGCCTATTGATGCCCAAGAACTCCAGCTTGCTTATCAACATGTTGGCCAGCTCTCCAATCTGAAACTGCCAGAAATAAGGCAAGCAAGAGGTCAAGAATGCATTGTCAGCCACAGTACACAAAGCTACTGCAGTACTGCCTCTGAAGTATCCAGATATAATCTGTTTGAACAATACAACATGCTAAGTGGTAACTAATAATTTCACAATTTTGTGCTTAGTGAAGGTGGCACTAGTTCAGTTCTGAAAGGACTGTTACAAATGAAAAAAAGACTGTTCTAACTGGTATTAGCAGCCATTCTACAGGTATAATTTTATATTGTTCTGAGAAGATAAAGACAGATATGGGAATGTGTAGACCTCCACAGATATACACACAGATATTTTCCATGTTCTAAAAACAGCAACACTTATATACACAGATAGCATGTTTGGTTATCACAAAACGGTGCATGTCTAAATGCTGTTCCTGACTATATGTCACTAACATGTGTCCTAGCATAATGCATTTCAATAGTGTATTTCCAAATTGGCATCAAGAGATAGTATCTTAAGAGGCACAATCTGACTTAAGTTGTGAGTTTAAAAACATAATGTTAGAATCCAGCATTAAGCAGCTTTCAGAAAGTGGAAAAATTTCATATGTACTCTGCCAAATAATAAACTGCTTCAGACAATATTAAATACTAGTAGGGGTTGAAAAACTAATTCAAGTCTTTCTCTCAAACTGAGTTGATCCTTTTTCTGACTACATGACAACTAATTACGCATCATATTCAAATGCTTATGTTCTAGAAAAACAATAGGCATGTCACTTTGCAACAGAATCTCTTGTTGAGACCATGATAGTGCAAAATACAATAAACAGCATTTTGACTAGTTTGAATACTGCAAATAGTTTAATACTATTTTAATGCTCTCTTTTTGTATGTTTTCAATGGTAACATTCTTTTAAATTGTGAGCTGTGTTGAGTCCCAATTTTGGGGGGGGAAAGCAGGATTTAAATAAATATAACAGGAGTCAGTGTAGCGCAGTGGTTTGAGCACTGGCCTATGACTCTGGAGACCAGGATTCAAATTCTGGCTCAGCCATGTAAATAATAATAATAATAATAATAATAATAATAATAATAATAATAATAATAATAATAATAATAATAATAATTTAATATCCCGCCCTCTGAGAACAATTGGGGCGGCTTACACAATAAAATCATCTTACAGCGTTTAAGAACAATTTCCCTCCCTCCTCCCACCCCTTAAAAATTTATTAAATCAGAACGATGTTAAAATACCAATTAAAAGAGGATGTATACCTCTATATATCAAAATCAAAGCAGTACAATAATACATAGGGAAAAAAAGGAAAAGACAAAGAAAACACTGGCGACGAGTCTCAATTCTCAGGAGGCCTCATCATAAAGAGGAGGAAGCATCTCAAATATATTAAGGCCTTGAGCCGGTAGTTATTCCGGGAAGGCCTGCCGGAAGAGATCCG